AGAGGAAATATTTGTAAAGATTTAGACAAGTAGGAAAGAGAAAGATCGACCGATCAACTCTAAACTCGCCTATTCCACGGGGGAAAAACTTACTAACTAATTAGATCATGATGTGATGTCTACTTATATATGGATCCCCATGTCGTTATGTTCTACGTCTTGACTTAAGGTTCACCTTTCTCGATGTTTGATACAAAGTTGTCATATTTGGTAGCGCACTGTCGCCCACGCCATTCCATTATATTAATTTATCATTTTCAGCCTTAAAGGGATCCGGGGTATCTTTCAATGTCTCCGTTTTCTAAACAAAATCATGGCCTTGGCTCATGCTGCAATCATAATTTTAAACCTTTAGGTCAGTTAGGAATCCCATGAGCTTTACAAGGCCGATCGCCTGTCTAAATATCAAGATATTTATGATTAGAATTCGAAATTTCTAAAAAAAAAGTTTTCCCAACGGTTTTGATGGACACGTTCTATTGTGAAAAATGAGTATGGTACAACTGGTCACTCAAATATTTTAAATTTTTCGAGCCACTGATCATTTTAAAGCGCAATTTGTTTAGGGCTATAATATAACACCCAGAGGCGGCCCTCCCGGGGGCAGGGGGCACACAATGCCCCCCCACACTTTTTTAGATACCCCAAAAGTGCCCCTTTTTACATAGGAAAAGTGCCCCTTTTATTTTGTAAGAAGTGCCCCTTTTACTTTGACAAGTGCCCCTATTACTTAGTAAACGTGCCCCTTCCCCATTTTCACCTCTAACGAGTGCCCTTTTTATTTTTGACACGTGCCCCTTTTCCTTCGACATGTTCCCATTTTCCTTTGCAATAAGTGTCCTTTTTCCATTCTCATAAATCTTGAAATTATCTTGAATAAGTGCCATTTTTAATCTCTAGTAAGTGCCTCTTTTCAGGTACGAGAAGTGCCCCTTTTCACTTTTGATAAGTGCCCCCTTCACCTCTGATAATTGCCCTATTCAAAACTGAGAGATGCTCCTTTTACTTTGACAACTGCCCCTTTTTTTTCCTTTGTAAAAAGTGCCCCTTCTCCTTTTAATAACTACCCCTTTTTTAAGCTCGGATGAGCACACCTTTCATTTTAATATGTGCCCCTTTTATTTTCTAATAAGTGCCCCTTTTCCTTATGATAAGTGCCCCCATTAAAACGAGAGAGCTCCTTCCCCTTCTCATAACTACCCCTTTCCCTTTCTAATAAGTGCCCCCTTCTCATTCAACAAATGCACATTTTCCTTTATAATAAGTGTCCCTTTTACATTTTCATAAGTGCCCCTTTGTATATCTGGTCAGTGTCCCTTTTCACCACTGATAATTCCCCTTTAATAATGATACGTCCCCCTTTTACTTATAAATGACCCTATCAAAATATGATGGGTGCCCCTTTTCCGTCAACACATGCCTATTTTCCTATTTTCGTAAACGCCTCTTTTTCATCACTGGTGAGTGCCTCTTTTCAGTTGAAAAATGCCTCATTTTCACCTCTCATAATTATCCTTTGTACTTTGACACGTGCTCTTTTTCTTTTCTAATAAGTGTCTTATCCCCTTTCGATAATTGCCCCCTTTTCATGTAATCATTAAACGTGCCCCTTATTTAAAGCGACTAAGAGCAATTTCCCCCAAAGTTCGCTCGCTGCGCTCGCTCGCATTTAAAGATGATATAATTATGTTACTTATCAAAGGTCTTTCCAGTCTTCCGTTATGAGAATCTGCTTATAACCCCATCACGATTGGCTTTTTTCCTCTTTATAAGATGTAATTTTTCGCACTGCGAGCTCACAGATCTTTAAATTTTTTCTCGCTCGCTTCGCTCACTCGTAAATGCATATTCAGACATCCCACCCAAATGTACAGTATGATGCTTAAGCGATATCTTGTATGATGTACAGTATGAAGAGAAACTAAATAATGAAATCATCCCTGATAATGTAGGGGTATATACCAATGCCTAAACAAATGGTATATTTTCGCTTTGAGATTTCCCAATATAGGTGCCTTTTTTCTCCAGAAAGTGCCCTTTTTTGTTGGTGCCCCCCCCCCCCACTTTGGAAGCCACTCGGCCGCCCCTGATTACACCATCACATTCACAGACACTGGTAACGCGCAGGGCCATGCATTTCAGATTTGTAATTGACTGGAAACTTTGGCGATTGTTATTATTGTTATTATTATAATAATTATTTATTTTAAGGCCACAAAAAAGCAAGATATTCACAAATTAAAGTAAAATTCATTCCAGTTGCTCGTAGGCAACTGCATGCACGCAAACCCTCACAAGCCATTCCGAAAATAAGTATGATAGCATTATCATAGGCGCCGGAGATGTGGTGGGAACGCAGTTTCGCCCCAGGCCCCCTCCCCTAAAAAAAAGTAGTAAACGAGTAAAGATGATTTGTATTTTTTAACCGAAAAGAATATAAAAATGATAAAACCTCAATTGAATCACAAACAAGTTATATTCCATTCAAAGAAAAGGAATTAAATTTATTTATCAATGGAGGTTTTTATACTAGCGATACGCGGATATCGTGGAAATATTGTGAGAGGATGGAAAAGCGTGTGTGTGTTTTTTTATAGATGAGAAGACATAAATCCCTGGACACTGGCGTGCTGATGGGAACGGGGGGGGGGGGGGGGGGGGGGGTATTTCTAATTCGATACCAGTGATTTACAAATGTTGTTGACATGACATGATTTCCGGTATTTCTTCTCATTGTTTTGTAAATCGTACCTTTTTATGCGTTTGTTGGAAAATAACGAATTTCCAAATTTACAGTCGGGCGAGAAAAAAAATATGCTAATTTGGAAGCCTTTATATCAGGGCTTGCAAAACGGCGGGGCCCGGGGGCTCAAGCCCCCTCACTTTTTTGAAAAAGTATGTTAAAGAGAAAAAGAAAGAAAGAAAGAGAGAAAAAATGTGTGACCTGCCAATGTCACAATCCGGTATCAAAATTTGCTCATCTGGCCGTTATTAAATGCCTAAAACCCCTGAGCGTACGGGGCTCCAACCCCTAGGCCCGCCAAGGGCCCTAAGGCGGGCCCCTGGATGCTCGTCTAAGTAAGTTATTAAATATCTAAAAATCCTGAGCTTCCGGGGGCTCTGCCCCTGGACCCCATCAAGAACCCTGAGGCGGTCCCTGGGTGCTCATCTGACCGTTATTAAATAACTAAAACCTCTAAGCTTCCGGGGGCTCTGCCCCCTGGACCCCAACAAGGGCTCTAAAGAGGGCCCCTGGCTGCTTATCTGGCCGTAATTAAATACAAAAAAAACCTTAGCCTCCGTGGGGCCTGCATGTAACATGTAAGAGTGGTGGTGATCAAGATTTTTCTTCTGCCCCCCCCCAAAAAAAAAAGTTTTTCGCTCATTACGCCACTCCCCCTGGAAGATGAGCCCACTGGAATGTTTGCCCATCCCCCCCCCCCCCCCCCATTCCAAACTGCTTCCGGCGCGCCTGAGCATGACTAATACCTCCTGCTCCATATAATTACGGGTCTGCCATGATTTATTTTGGGACAGATTTAAAATTAATCATCATCTAACAACAATTATTTTGTCAATTGAATTTTTTCAACTAAATGTCATTGTCATGTTGTGACATGAAAAACAAATTATTTCCCAATTTATTGATTTACAGTTGCCAAGGGAGACGTCTTCTCATTTGTCCGCTTTGCGATTAGTGAAGGTAAATCATTAAAATTCGAAGTCTAACTGATCGAATGGAGTTGAAAAGAGAAAAGTTTTCACAATTTAAATCATATGATTTTCAATTGTATATATTATTTGTTCTGACTTGCTATTTTTAGTTGTGATCGATTCGATTGAGTGTTTGATTGTTTTTACTCGCAGGGCCCTAATGAGAAACAAAATGTTACATAGGCGGCTACTCTTTTAATAGCATTGTTATTAACAGAGTAAATGAAATGATAAATAACGAAATAAATTAATTGATTAATAAATAAATAAATAAATAAAAGAAAAAGAAGCAGAAGAAGAAGAAGAAGAAGAAGAAGAAGAAGAAGAAGAAGAAGAAGAAGAAGAAGAAGAAGAAGGAGAAGAAGAAGAAGAAGAAGAAGAAGAAGAAGAAGAAGAAGAAGAAGAAGAAGTAGAAGAAGGATGAGTATAATAAGAGGAGGAGGAAAAAACGAAAAATAGAAAGAATTGAACGAAATTAAGAAAGAATGAAAAAAGGAAAATCATATATAAGTTACTCATCCACAGCGGCCCGTGTGCCATATTACATTGAGAAAAAATCAATAGGATATAAAAATAAAAAAAATTGACGTTTTCTAAAGTAATAACTAATCTAATGATACGAAAAATGTATATAACGTAGCTTTTGAGAATGAAAGCTACTGACACACAAAGGTGTTTTTATCAGTTATATTTTAATTTCATGACCATAACCACTGATTATACCCCGTGTCCTTTTTAGATTGTGGTATACATTGAGTGAAGACTCTTGATTTTTATACGAAAGGCCCGGGGGGGGGGGGGGTACTCACATATTAAGTGAGGAGTGCCGCTCTGATTGGTAATTTTGTCATAAAAAATCCCTAAACATAGGTCCAATTTTTAACAAAAATACCCCTAAATATGGGTCCGCTTTTTCAAAGTTTTTGCCATGCAACACCCACAATTTTGAAAAATGGGCTTTACTTCGAAAAAAATCAGCCAAAAGGACCTTTAAAATGGGTAGGGGTTTTGAGGCTCCAGCGGCACACCCACGTCAAAACCAAATCTGAGTACCCCCCCCCCCCCCCTTACTTCCCTTTTCCAGAGTTCACTTAGTATACCACATATGCCTCTCATTTACTTTTAAAATTTATATATTTTTTATTTCAGGAAAAAGACTTTTCCTGGTGCAAAAAATATCAGTGACCTCTAACCATTATAGCCCTTCGTGTCCGACAGCACATGCAGCAACAGAATACGATAATATTCAACACGACGTTATCGCATAGAAGATACCGTACCAACTAAAGATTTAGTTCTGCTAGGTTCAACTTTTTAGGCCCTCTTTCGTGCGTGTCCAGAAAAGGTACAGGAATGTGTCCGAATGTTACCCTCTAAAATCGAACAAAATACAGTACATAGAAATGCCATCCACAATTTAAAATATATTAAATTCACGATTAATACTATTTATCATCTTTGTGCGGTATATTTGATCAATTTAGATGTCACGATACTTGACTACAAGTACTAATTCTTTGTATAGAAATGTAGTATGTGGACGGTAATCGAGTGAAATTGTACTGACCCACCTGTGTATATTCGTGTACGGAGGACGTTCAACAAAACGACGATGAATTTCCTGTCATTTTTGGAAATGTTAAATTAGAGTCAAAGTTATCATTGTAGATGTATACGTGCCTCCACTTTTGCAAGACGTTGGAACCAGCTATTGAATTATTTTTTAGTAATGTAACATCCTAAATTGCTAGAAAGAAATGTGAAGTGATGTCAGTCAGATCATGCAGATGAGATTGTGAAAGTGCAAGAATCGCTTGGCAAGAGAGAGAGAGGGAGCAAAATGATCATAATAAAACAAAATAAATGAATAAAAGAATAGATTCTAGATCTATTTGAATTGCTCTAGTTTGACCAAAAGGTAGATCTAAAGGGAGGCCATGTTGGTTTTCAATATCAGTGGGGCGCTGGTCCAAGAACATGAACCGTCCGCAATAACAAGGATTGTCTGATTTCACTGTCTTCATATTTTCGATCTGCACGTTGTCGTTGGCAATGATTTTCCTGATGCATTTTACATTGACTTTGAACCAAGACTTTCACGACATGATGATAACTCCTCAGGGAGACGGACAACCATTAAAAGAAGACGGTGAACTGGGGTTATTTTCTTATACGGAACCCGTTTTTCGTATTGCCAGCGCGCGGTTCGGGAACCCTAAACCCGGAGAGCGCCCCCCCCCCCCCCCCCCCCCTCCCCCCAAAAAAAGTCTGCACATATGTGGACGCAATTTGTCCGTGTTAACGAGGATATCCTCGTTTATGCAGACAATCCTCATTCTGGCACCAGCGCCCCTACTGGTAGGGTGTCTGATCGCGCACCCAATGTTGTGTGCTAAAACCCTTCCCATAGAGATTGTACGCTTCCCTATGTGGTCTACGTGCATTGCGCGACCATCCAAAATTGGTCAATGATTTTATGAAAAAATTTGAAATTCAAACCTTTATAACAAATGATCCTGAAGGTGAAACTCAATAAATGAGGTGTCATATGAAAGAGCAGGTTTTTCTCCATATTCCCCATCGGGGGCCACCCCCAGAATTCTAAAAATATCTTGGTCAAAATAGCGATTGAAATGTTGTTTGCATCCTAGCTCCAAAATTTGCCACTTTCCTGAGCTGCCGCCCCGCGGCTTAAGCAGGGCTAGACGTAAGGATAATATCCAGATGCTTTTTTTTTTGCTAGCCCCAAGGGATCATTTGTTATAACAGTTTGAAAATACCCTCCCACATTTTTGGAATCAGCTAATTAGGGAGGCGTGAGCTCCGCTCAGTCCAAACCATGGTTACATCGCGTAACATGTGCGCTTATAGTGAATGAAAGTATGGATGGCCGTTCCCACTATAAACCCCGGAAGTGAATACACGTTGTAGTCAATGGCAATATCGCGGAGACATCTCCGCGATATTGCCATTGACTATAACGTGCATTCACTTCCGGGTTTTTTGTGCGACGAACGCTAACCATACTAGTCAATGGCACGTGTCGCGGAGACAGCGTAGCTCAAGCTTGCAAGTCGCGCATTGGCTGAGCAACTTGCGTACGATATGCATACGCTTGCATATCGCGCGATACAGCTGTTTGGCTAAATTTAGCAAAACAACATAACTCTGCGTGTACGTCTTTTTCGTCGATTCTGAGCAAAATGCTATGAATATTTCAGCGTTTTGAAGGGGCTGTATCTTTTGATAGAAACATCGGCGAGACTTGAAATTTGAAATGTATTATTCTGATTACATTTTTAATTCAAATATCAAACAAAAATGGTGAAAAACGATCCCAAATTGAAAATTGAAAAATCGTTCAGACACCCTACTACTGGTGGTAGGGTGTCTGAACGATTTTTCAATTTTCAATTTGGGATCGTTTTTCACCATTTTTGTTTGATATTTGAATTAAAAATGTAATCAGAATGATACATTTCAAATTTCATGTCTCACCGATGTTTCTATCAAAAGATACAGCCCCTTCGAAACGCTGCAATATTCATAGCATTTTGATCAGAATCGACGAAAAAGACGTACACGCAGAGTTATGTTGTTTTGCTAAATTTAGCCAAACAGCTGTATCGCGCGATATGCAAGCTTATGCATATCGTACGCATGTTGCTCAGCCAATGCGCGACTTGCAGCTTGAGCCACGTTGTCCCCGCGCTATTTGCCATTGACTAGTATGGATAGCCATTACGCACAATAATACCCGGAAGTGAATACACGTTATAGTCAATGGCAATATCGGGGAGACAACGTGCGTTGTCTCCGCGATATTGCCATTGACTATAACGTGTATTCACTTCCGGGTATTTTTGCGCGAACGGCTAGCCATACATTCATTCATGTTTCGTTCGTACGCGGAGATGTTACGCGATGTAACCATGGTTTGGACTGAGCGGAGCGCACGCCTCCCTAATTAGCTGATTCCAAAAATGTGGGAAGGGTATTTTCAAACCGTTGTAACAAATGATCCCTTGGGGCTAGCGAAAAAAAAAGGACCTGAATATTATCCTTACGTCTAGCCCTGCTTAAGCCGCGGGGGCGCAGCTCAGGAAAGTGGCAAATTTTGGAGCTAGGATGCAAACAACATTTCAATCGCTGTTTTGACCAAGATATTTTTAGAATTCTGGGGGTGGCCCCCGATGGTGAATATGGAGAAAAACCTGCTCTTTCATATGACACCTCATTTATTGAGTTTCACCTTCAGGATCATTTGTTATAAAGGTTTGAATTTCAAATTTTTTCATAAAATCATTGACCAATTTTGGATGGTTGCGCAATGCACGTAGACCACATAGGGATGCGTACAATCTCTATGGGAAGGGTTTTAGCACACAACATTGGGTGCGCGATCAGACACCCTACTACTGGTTTATTATGAAATTGCCACCACCAGGACTATTCAATTCAGGTTGAATGTTGGAAACGCACATTAAATTTAAGCATATTTGTTCACATACTGAGTGTTACGTTTTTAAAAACATGATGAATGTGACATTTGGAAGGAAGTGGTGTTAGCCTTAACTTATAACGGTAGGGGCGCTGGTCCGAGAATGAGGACTAGGCCTACCGTCCAGGCAGTCATTTCTGTCGAGCCTAATTTGGATGTTGGACTCTTCTTTTGCCTTTTTCATGTTATGTGTTTTGACATATCATTCTCAATTCTTCTTTTCTTATGTCTTGTATGGCTTACATAATCAATAAAGAAAAGGTCTACTTTGGAGTTAGTTAATGCAGAAACAGTTTAAAATGCTAAATGGGTCTTTATTTCATTTGTCCCCATTATTTTATAGTGCCCTAATAGAAATTGCTAGACACTATAGTGCATGTATCTTGCTGTGTGAGATATGCATGTGTTTTAATCCCCTCTTGCTTCCCCCTTCATATATTTTGCAATATGAAATATGAAATACATTTAGAACCTTGTTGAATAGATGAGTCAATTGGTAGAGCAAATTTTTTTCATCTGTTTATCTTTTTTCATTATTTCAGGATAACTTTCCAAGATGACGCGCTACTCCCAAGAACCGGAGAATTCTGCAAAGTGTAAGTAGTAATTGCTAGAAAAATATGTTTGGATATCATTTCATGATCGACATCAGCCTGGTCATACATGTATGTTGGCTCCTTTATAACTTTGTATCATTGAAGGTGTGGCTGAAATCGTACAATCCCCATGCGTAAATTGAAAAATGTTGGGGGGGGGGGTGTTAAACTAAAAATGTTGGTGTTCGCACGTTCATGTTCATGTCGAGCCCTGACATATTTGCTTCGATTAATACAATTAAATTAACTGGTGTTACTGGTGTTACAGAAGATTAATGGTAGTTTATCAAAGTTCATCCAGTGTTGACATGTTAATTTATTTGATAATCATTCTCTTTCATTTCTCCTTAGCCTGCAAGGCAAGGGGCTCCTACCTTCGTGTTCACTTCAAGGTAAGAGTGCAATACTTTTTTTTTTCTGTCGGTCTCTCTTCTTACTTTCTTTTTTTTAAAGCATGTTGTAAACATTTTCGGAGATCAAACTCTGTTTCAAAGTTAGAGCCCTTCTTACTATCAACAGATTATATCAAAATGTACAAGATATATTTCCTCATTGCAATTTAGTATGAATCTGCTTCATCCTGTACCAGACCTGCCAACCAGTACGATTGAGTCGTATTTAGTACGATTTTTAGAAGCAAATACGACAGTACGATTTTCCTCGATAAAATATGATTTTTTTTTTATTTTTTTTTTAAAATTTTTTTTTAATAATTTTTTTAATTTTTGGTATTTTGTGTGTGTGTGTGCCATTTTCAATGGCAAAATGCCCATTCTGTCCTATAAAGCATCTCACATCGGCAATTTGGGGATGTTCATTGGTTCATCGAACACACCAGTCGTGACAAAATCATGCATATATTCAACCAATGATCCATAAAAAATTCTTCCTGTATGTAGGAACTGTAAGAGGCATTGATCCGCGTAACAGTCCGTGTTTATTTTTAAGAATACAACTTTTGTCAGCAAAATACAACTTTTGTCAGCAAAATACAACTTTTGGTATTAAAGAATACAGTTTTTGAACTCCAGAGGTTGGCAGGTCTGCTGTACCATTTCATTGCAACATCTTATCAAACACCTTTGTAGTATTTAATTTGAAAATTAATGCAAATGACATTGGTCAGATAAACAGGAGTTGTCAGGTTGCTAAAATTCACTCCTTCCTGCCAAGGTCCTATGCTGCTCAGTTAGAATGAAATACACACGTACACATTCTTTTGGACGATTGAAGGCTTTGTCTTAATAAGAAAACAGCAAAATGTGCTAAGCAAAGGAAAGAAATCAGATGGTCATACAATGTTCACTACAAATCTCCTCACACTAAGTTTATACTGATTTTCTTGGTGATCCAACATTTTGCTCCAATGACAATTGCTGCAGAATATATGTTGTCAAAGATACAGGGTTCAGATTAGTGTTGCCATTTGGGGTTTTAGATTAGGTATACCTGTAGGTCAGTGGTATCCACAGGGGTAGGTAGGGCAAGGGTTTGGTCTAGGCCAAGGTATTTACAGCAGAGCTTTTGTTACTGGAGCATGCGTTTTACAACCCTAGTCTTGAGAATTGAGAATTGAGTGCAAACCTTTGATGATGATCCTGTAAATTAGGTTGAGGTCTGACTATCTATTCTTGATAGATTGATGACTTACACTTGCTGAAAAGGAATCATTCTCTCTTTCCCCATCATTCAAAATTGTGATACATGTCTTCTTGTTTTACGAAAAGTGGATTACTATGCTCTGCAGAGTTAACATCACTGTGTAACTTTATTTTGTTTATGCAATATACACTTAAGTTATTACTGCGTTAAAAAAAAAAAAATCAAAATTACCTGTAAGACAGCAAGATGAAAATGTAATTCTTTTTATTTCATACCTTCTGAAGTATTCTTTAGGACAATTAAGGGTTTAGGATTTTAAACTTCAATATTTTATACAGTAGGCTTGTGGGTGCACCATGTGAGAGAGAGGGGGAGGATTGAGGAGTATATTCTACATCACCATGCAAGCCGACACTTACAAGCAGCATTCAATATTTTAATCGTGAGAAATTCTGAATAAAAGAAATAATTTGAGTGTTAGAATGGAATTATGTCTTCATTTGGTCCCTTTATAATTTACATACCCTTTCTCGTTTTTTTCTTCTAAAGAAACAAGGTCATTCTATCTTGCTTTCTGTAACATTGCCCATTGAGAACATAGTTATGAGTAAAGCCTGATTTGGTTGTATTTTTAGAACACCCGCGAGACCGCTCAGGCCATCAAGCACATGCATGTCCGCAAGGCCATCCGCTTCCTGAAGGATGTAACCAACAAGAAGCAGTGCGTTCCCTTCCGCAGGTTCAATGCCTGCATTGGACGCAAGGCCCAGGTAATGACCAGAAACAAAATCTGTGATGTGAACGTCACTTTGTGTGATGTGAACAAGACTTTAAGATTCAAAATATTAAACCTGGGGGGGGGGGATGTTTCACAAAGATCCTAAGGTGGACTTAAAAATTATGGAGAGCCATTTATATCCTTAAAATTTAATATTTCCATAAGCAAAAAATGGAGATTTTTAGACTTTTCATAAATTCTACATGAAAATCTCCCTGATAATAGACAATATGAATGATTTGAATCAACATTTTATGCCTTTTGATATAACTATTACAAAATATTTTCAATGATGCTAACGGCTTTCCATAATTTTTAAGTCCCAACTAAGAGATAAGTCTGCTTTAGGATCTTTGTGAAACACCCCCTGATGTAGTGTTGAAGCTTGGTCTAGGGTCACGTTTTGCCCAAGGAACAGAGAAGGTCTAGTTTACCCTTAGTTTAACATGACTGGGAGTCCTCGCTTTGGGTTTGCTAGAAGACTGGCCATTGTGTTTCCAAGTTATCTTGGCAAAATTTAATCTTTGCTAAGTCCCATTTCCTTGTTATTTAGTGGAGGTATAAGGAAATCAAATTGAGAAATAATTTATGATACCTTGATGTCGATATAGATTTGCCCTTTTCCCCTATTTTTTCTAAACATCAGAATGTCAATGCAGTAGTTCCTCTTGTTACAATTCTTCCTGTTCCTCATAAGTGAACTATCTAACATTTAAGGGGGTAGTCCACCCTGAAATTGAATTGGTTTTAAGAAAAAGCAGAAAAGGGAGAGAAACGATTGTGTGAAAGGTTTTACATGTAGATTAGGTAAAGGTATCTATAGGGTTAGGGCAAGGGTTTGGTCTAGGCCTAAGGTGTTAACCGCATAGTGTTTGGTACTGGAGCATGCGTTGTACAACCATAATCTTGAAGGAAGAATTGATTGACTGCAAACCTTTGATGATGTTCCTGTAAGTCAGGTTGAGAATATTTGACTATCTATTCTTGATAAATTGATGACAAACTTATGCTGAAAAGGAATCATTCTCTCTTCCCCCATCATTCAAGATTGTGGAACATCTTGTCTTGTTTAATGAAAAGTAGATTACTTTGCTCTGTAGAGTTGACATCACTGTGTAATGTTGAAGGTAGTTATCTAAACCTGCAGACTGTTATCAATAGTCATACATAGCCTTTTGAATTTGGGTATTCATATCTTTTGAAACTTATTTGCAAATAAGATGCATTTAAGGGGAAGTCAACCCTGATATTTAGTTGGTTTTAATAAAAGCAGGAAAAGGAGAGAATCAATTGAGTGAAAGTTTGAGCAATACCAGGGTGGACTTCCCCTTCGAGCTTGATGCATCTTTGTTACAGATTAGTTTCAAAAGACTTCAATACCAAAATTCAAAAGGCTATAACTATTGATAACAGTCTGCAGGTTCAGATAACTACCTGTAGTTCTTTTTATCATGTCATGACATGTTTGCGAGCATGTATCACAGCCATAGTGCTTCCTCACTTGGGGGTTGTTTAGTTAGTAAGTGAACATTCATTATGCATTAGATATAGACCCCCTCCCCTTCTTACAATTGTTTTCAGCAAAGTATATTCTGTATTTAATACTCAAAAAGCTGCTAGCCATTCCCAGTTTGGAGGAATGATTCCTAATTTAGGACCTTCATTCTGAATCATCTCTCTTTCTTGAAACTCTCTAACAGATTGAAAAAGTACTCTTTTTTTTTCTTTAGAGATTCCCAATTTCCTGGCATAAAGTTGGCAGGTACAAGTCACTCATAAGCATGCATTATGGAACTTTGGTACTATACTAACACTTGCACTTTCCTAATGTTTTTCAGGCTAAGGCATGGAACCACACCCAAGGTCGCTGGCCCAAGAAGAGTGCCGAGTTCCTTCTTCAGCTCCTGAAGAATGCTGAGAGCAACGCAGAGTACAAGGTTTGCACCCCCTTCCCCCCTTCTCCCCACCCTATATAAAAAATAAAAAAAAATTTAAACTCTAAAAAGTGCCATTTGATTATTGTGTGCATGAATTTTTGTTCAAATTTCACAAGGGGTTAAGAAACTTAGCAAAATTGTCATGCTGCAGAGTGATTAAATCACAACTGTCACAACGGTGATTTTTTTTGCAATCATGAATTTTCTTGCCTTGAAAATGGCTGTCATTTACAATATGTGAAAGTTGCTTTGTTTTTGTTTTCCAGTATTGCTTTACAGTAGGTCATTTTTTGAATGCTTAGAAATTCATACACGTATGCTAAAGTGGCAGACTATTTCATGAACTTGTTTCAAGTTATCATGTCATTGGTCAGATAAACAGGAGTTGTCGGGTTGCAAAAAAATGCACTCCTTCCTGCCAAGGTCCTATGTTGCTCAGTTGGAATGAAATACACACATGTACACACATTCTTTTGGATGACTGCAGGCTTCGTCTTGATTAGAAAAAGGCAAAATAGTCTTGATGGATAAATTGATTGATTGCAAACCTTTGATGATGATCCTGTAAATTAGGTTGAGGTCTGACTATCTATTCTTGATAGATTGATGACTTACATTTGCTGAAAAGGAATCATTCTCTCTTTCTCTCCATCATTCAAAATTGTGGAACATCTCGTCTTGTTTCATGTAAAGTGGATTGCTTTGCTCTGCAGAGTTAACATCACTGTTTAGCTTTGAAGGATATAACTATCAGTATGTAGCTTGTTAGTGGAATGTAAATGAGCTTTAAGAAGTCATGTCTTTCTAGGGTTGGTGGAAAAGAATGACACCCCTCTTAAAGGTAAAGACCAGTTTTGGAAACGCCCCCCTCTCAAAAAATGAAATGGAAGCTCTTATTACCAATCATGTGAAAGAATATGTTTTGACTAATACGTGATCATACAAATTTGGCCGAGAAAACGCCTACTAATTGATATATTTGGTAAATTATTATATCTATTTGGACCTGAAAGATAAAACGCACGTGTCGCGCACATGTGCGTAGTCCCATATACATCTCTCTGTGTACAGTGCTTGTAACTTTACCAAGACTGGGCCAAATTTCTTATCATTTTGATGATTCCAGAACCTTGCAGTACACACCAATACTTATATGCTAGATGATCAACCTTTTCTGGTCGATTCCACAGCGTTTCTTTCACAATGCAATCGCATGACCATAACTGGTCTTTATCTTTAAGCATGAGGTGGAGAATTGTTTTCATAATGAACTTTTCTCTATCTCAACAGGGTCTCGATGTCGACTCCCTTGTCATCGATCACATCCAAGTCAACGCTGCCCCCAAGATGAGGAGGAGGACATACCGTGCCCATGGTCGTATCAATCGTAAGCACCTGTCAAGCTTTTTATACCCCAGCCATTTTTTAGTGTTGAATTAGCCCCGAAAGTAATAAAAGAGCCCAAAAAAATTGCACAGAGTTCAATGCAAAACAAAATAAAGAGTGTTATTTTCATGCAAGCAAGCTTGAAAAGTAGCCCCCAAAATTTGTTAAGTATTTTTTCCCTGCATGCACATTACATGTCTACTGTCAAAACCGGGAACTTTTGCATTCGTACAAATTTTACAAAGTGGTTGGTACTCACCAAAGTTTCATTGCTACCAAAAATGGAATCACGACTGACTCCATATTTTATCGTAAAACTTTCTTGCTGTAAATATTTGTGAAACTTGTGAAAGTATCACATGGTGAAAGTTTCTGGTTGTACAATATGCATCTTTGCTTCCAGGGTAATCAATGATTAATGTAATTGTTTAATTGTTAGTTCCTTATTGTTCCTACTGCAGATTGCCCCTAGCATTTCCTTCACCCTTTATTCAACACTTACTGTGATTGTTCGCTTTCTTGTCTTGTTTGAATCATCTGATCCAAACCAAATTATATCTGTCCCTTCCGCTTTTGCCTCTTGCCAGCTCTCAAAAGCTCCACTTGCCATATGAAGCTGTTCCTATTACAGTAATGTAATTGTCCTCCGATTCCTCTCCCCTTTGTATTCTCTTGCCAGATTAAATAAGCGCACCATGCCAAATGCTAATCTTTACAATATTCTAATCATCAACTCCCATGTTTTATTATACTACGTAATACCATTTCAGGATTACGTTAAATGAGACCCCGTCATTGCGCATGCGCTAATCAGCAATTCGTCAGTCGCGTATTATTGATATCTCATTGAGCTGATCCTAACAGCTTACACACGGAAATGATCCTTTTCTAATTATCGTCCCACCTTTCCATTTTCTTGCCAGTTTACATTGGGTTATTGATTTTTTTGGGGGGTGATCCAACATTTTGCTCTTATGGCGATTGCTGCAGGATTTATGTTGTCAAAGATACAGGGTTGGGGTAAGGGTTACTGTTTTGGGTTATTGATTAGGTATAGGCATCTATCGGGGTAGGGTGAGGCTGTGGGATAGGTATAATGTTTGGCCTAGGCCAAGGTATTGACCTCAGAGCAATTGTTACTCGAGTCTGCTTTGTACAACCATAGTCTTAATGGAAGAATTGATTGAGTGCAAACCTTTGATGATGTTCCTGTTGATCAGGTTGAGAATATTTGACTATCTATTCTTGATAAATTGATGACAAACTTTTGCTGAAAAGGAATCATTCTCTCTTTCCCCATCATTCAAGATTGTAGAACATCTCGTTTGTTTCATGAAACAGAGTTATCCATGTACATTGGGTTATTGACCCATTTTCATTTGTCTCCATTCCTTGTTTTATTTGAATTTAAACTTACATGCCACATGTTGGCAACCCTGACTGTAGTCTAACCATCCCCTGTCCTGATATCCTCTTGCCATCCCCCTTGTTTTATGTCACATGCTCGCTTTCACATGGAAACGATCCTTGCTAATTGTCCTATTCCCTTTTTTCATATTCTCCTGCCAGCTCACACGAGTTCTCCATTCCACTAAGAGCTGATCCTAACCATAGTCTAATTGCCATCTCCCTTATTTTATGTCACATTCTAGCTTTCACATGAAAACGATCCTTGCTAATTGTCCTGTTCCCTTTTTCATATTCTCTTGCCAGCTTACATGAGTTCTCCATGCCACATTGAGCTGATCCTTACCGAGCGTGAACAGGTGGTTCCCAAGCCAGAGGAAGAGGAGGAGGCCAAGAAGAAGGTCTCCAAAAAGAAGCTTGCCAAGCAGAAGATGATGGCTAGAGATTAGACCAACACAACACTAATGACTATCACCAACATCCGCAATAGCAGCAAGAACTCTCTCTCGGCTAGTCCCTATTCAATCTCATAGGGAAGTGATCATCAAGGCAGAAACTCAAAAGGCACATTCTCCCGGTTACATGTTGAATATATTCAGGTGTTCAATGTGTGAGACAATAAATACATCCAATGTACAATAATCAAAAGCAACGATTCTTGCATCTTGAATTATGTGTTTCTGTGAATCTCGAGAATGACGCTGCTATTACTTGGAGTAGATTTAGAGGGAGTGGAGTAAGAGTGGCAGGAATAAGAGGTTTAACAAAATTGTGAAAGCCATTGGACATCGTAAGGCAGCTTGTGGAGTTTCTTCAGAGATTCTAAAAGAAGTGTCCAAATTTCCACTTCAATTTACTAGCAGAGAGTTGCGATTGATTCAACTTTGCATGCAGTTAGTGGTGAAGCTACAATAGGCCATTTTTGTAATGAATCCAAATTTAATCTATATGTCTTTATGAAGAGCCTCGATTATTTTATTTACCTGATACAAATACATGTAATTGTATTTCAATGGTCAGAGTGTGAATTGTATACATTAGTTGTTGATCGGTAGGACAAACGTGGTGCTACCTAACGACATGTAATACATGTATATGCAATTTGCTCTCTGACTTCCGGAATACAATTATTTGTAACTGGTGAGTGAAATACATGTGTACATGTAATGTGAATCAAAGTACTTTACAAACGCAAAGACCCTATGCATTACATTTGGTTAAATTATTACAAAACTTTACTATTCCCAACATACAAATCTTTTAACAATATTAAAAACGTGACATACAAAATTTTACATTTGATGGTGATAACACTACAGGTGTGTGTATTTAAGATTTCATTAATTGCATACCTTTTGAAAAAAAGTGCACAAAAATGCTAAGAGGGAATCTGTCACTCTGACACTTGAAGTTTGGAGATGTAATTTTTATGAATGAAGGAAAGCAAGGTGTGATAAGGAGGAAATTTAAAAAGAAAGGTGGAATATCGTCGGTGGGGTGACAAAACCTTGTATCTCAATTTTTGAGATTTTGATTTTTTTTTGCATAGTTTTGTACCTAATGGCCTACGACACCACCTGATAAATCCATGGAACGCCTCCTCGGTTTTTTCACAAATTCCACACAAACGCCCTGAAAGGTAAAGACCAGTTATGGTCATGCGATTGCATTGTGAAAGAAACGTGAAATCGATCAGAAAAGGTTGATTATCTAGCATAGATGTACTGCAAGGTTCTGGAATCATCAAAATGATTAGAAATTTGGCCCAGTCTTCATAAAGTTACAAGCACTGTACACAGAAAGATGTATATGGGACTACGCACACATGCGCCACACATGCGTTTTTATCTCTCACACACCAATAGATAAACTAATTTTCCAAATATATCAATTAGTAGGCGGTTTCCCTAGCAAATTTTTAATCATCATGTATTATTCAAAACATATTCTTTCACATGATTGGTAATAAGAGCTTCCGTTTCATTTTTTGAAATTGGGGCGTTTCCAATTTCCACTTAACCCCTTTTAAAGCTGCACTGACAAAACCTCGTAACATAAGATATGTAATTCCCTTCCCTCGTAACTCACACACGGCCTATCAGTACCGAAGTTAGTGTATTCAAATCCTCGTAACTCGTTTAGAGTTGAAAGTAAGAACTCGTATCTCAATTTGAATACAAACTAAAACTCATATCTCGATGTAGATAAACGCAAAAACCTCATAACTCACTTTCAAATATAAAAACAATTATTTTACTGTATTTCAACAATGACATTAAAAATTGTATAAATATTCCAGTTTTAAAAAGAAAGGACGGTGTCTCAGCACTAAATTTGTTGAGACAGGAAAGTTTTTTCGCTCTCCTACAAATTTATGATTTTTGAGATACGAGGTTTTGTCACCCCACCGACGATATGCATGTGTTGGGAGAAGAGAGAGAGAGAGAGAAAGAGCTATTGAAGGAAAGATAAAGAGATAGAAAGTGAAAGATGAGGAATGGAGATCGAGGTATAGAAAGAAAGTAAGATGAGAAGGGGATTTAGTGAGATTAGCGGAGGAGAATTGTGTTTAAAAAATCCATGTGTACAAATAAAACCTTTCAAACAGAGTAAGGGACAGGAATACTAACGAGGCCGATGGTGATGATATTCCATATTTGTCACCTATCCACAGACCTTATATATATATATATATATATATATATATATATATATATATATATATATATGTACATATTTCATGGTTAGCTTGGAAAAACAACCTGCACTTTCTCATATTTCATAGTCCATCATACTTGTAATAAATATAAATAAATCTGTTCTGCCAATATAATTAGCCTTCTGGCAGCCAACTTGATCTACTTACTTCGGCACAGGTAGGCCTACTTGACCTCATGAACTTGACCTACTTCTGCAAATAAGCTTGATCTACTTGTGTCCAAGAGCTTAGCCTACATAGGCGCCTAGGGCATTGAAGTTGCCTTCTGCCGCAAGGTGGCACAGGCTTCTGGTGCATGGATTCGCCAGCAATAGATAAAACACAACACACTGCAAGTGGGGTTGGGGGAGGGGAGGGGGTCATAGACAAATAAAGTAGTGAGGGAGGGGGGGAATCAGTGGTTTTAAAGGTAATTATATTTAAACGTCTTTGGTCACAGGCTTTTCCAAGAAGAGCAAGGTAAACAATGGTGATGTTTGACATCTGATGGTCAAGGATCAGATTCAGTGCATCAAGGCCTTTCGAAACTCGAGCTTAAAAGAAGGCAAGTAAATAATGGATTGCAAGTCCATTTGATTTTCCTCACGCATGACGAAAGTTAGACGCAGAGGGCTTTCTTGTCATAAAGCAGTAGGCTACAGTCCCCTTGATCGTCCTACCCTCTCTTAATTCCTTGTCATTTCTTCCCCGTTTTACCTTCCCTTTGTTCTCGAAACTAGTAGCTCACTTGAGAATTCTCATTACACTCTACTAATTTTATCAGCGAATTCGCAAGAAATATTTCATCGAGAAGGAAAAATAAAAGAGGGGAACTGTTTCGACAATTTTTTTTCAATAATAATTTTCATCAGAATAGCAAAAAGGGGGTTTCTCAAAATCCTCACTCTCAAAAGTTTTGAAATATTCTCTTAATTTGCCGACATCTGTGGATTTGACAACAGAAATTGAAACGAACCAAACAGAAAAACTTGGAGAGGACCTAAAGCCGTCGGCCCTCTGGTTGCTACTCACATTTATGTTTTCTTAGAAGTCAGGTAAAATAACCACCACTAAACCACAAATCGTAATAATTTTTCTCAACTACGTACGGTACAGAAACAAAAAATAACCAATTGACATCTTAAAAGAATAACTAAATGTTATATTTGTCATAATTCAAAGGGCACTGTTAAGAAGAAGAAAAGATATTGGAGTATGTGACACCATTGATCGGGATGAGAGTCGCCGCCCCCCCCCCCCCCTCTCTCTCTCTCTCTCTCTCTCCTCTCTCTCTCTCTCTCTCTCTCCCTCTCTCTCTCTTCCCTCGCGCTCTCCCTCTCCCCCCTCTCTCTCTCTCTCTCTCTCTCTCTCCCTCTCTCTCTCTCTTTTCTCGCAATTCGATTGGTTAGACACTGTGCCCCCTGCGCCTAACAACTATGCCACTCAGCACAATAACTATGGCTGAAACAACAACGCCCTATCACTCAGTCATTATTGCAGCAGCTATAGCCTCAAATCAGGAGTGGTTTTAGAAGAATAATTCTGGAGGGGGTATTATTCTTGGGGATTTGGGCTTTTGGAATTCGTGCATACATTTTCCACATGTCTCGAAATATTCTTTATTTCCATTTTATGGGGGGGGGGGGGGGGGGACTTGAGCCCCCACCCTCCGAACCGCCACTGCCTCAAATGATACAATAAAACGTTGTCTAGATCAGTAATGTGGAGGTGGATAACCGTGACCTTTTGCGCTCCGTCTTGGGAGCGCATCCCCGCAGACATTTCTCTAAAAATATTTTGACGGGCCCCATCACTGAGCACTTCCTGGGCAAAATAAACAGGTTTTATTGAAGCCAAGTCGGCCTAATGCGGGGTCAATGTTATTTATTCCGACCCGCCATTCCCATTACGCCTTCTGTTCTACTACCAAATACAACTAACACCTCCTTGCTTGAAGAACACCTTGTAGGATTTTCCTAGAAATTGTATTGTTCGTTTGTTTGTTTAATGAATTGTTTTCATAAAAGATAATGAAAATGTTAACATATACATATTAATGCCCCTGTTCTTTCATGGGGTTATATATATTAGCACATTGGTATCATCACCGATATTTGGACATTTCTATAAAAATTGATTAAAATTTCAGCCATGATTAGTGTCAGCGTCATAAAATAGTTCGACGCAATTTATTTTCTAAAATTGGCTGACCCCCCCCCCCCCCCCCCCCCCCCCCACGGCGGATCTATAGTGGTCATTTAGACCGTTTTGCTCGGGAGGGCGCCAAGATCCCCTAATTATTATCAGTTTCATGAAATCAATAGGCGAAGTTATTTATCTGTCTGCATAGATTCCACGCTTTATTTACGAAGAGGCGGGAAAATGTGAGTGTCTGGGACGTTTATTTGCTTTACTACAGGTGATCGTCTGCACACCACTCTTACTTCTCAAGCAATGTGTTTTATCTAGCTCACCATCATGACCATGGTGATTATTTGCCGTGCTACTCGTAGGATGAAATCGATGATGGGAGCGGTGATGTGGATCACGTGATCATGGGCGAGACAACATAAACGAAAGTTATAAATAGAGAGAAAGAGGGAGGGGAGGGAGGGAGGGGAGGGAGGGGCGGAAGGAGAGGGGGGGGGGACAGAGAGAGAGAGAGAGAGAGAGAGAGAGAGAGAGAGAGAGAGAGTCGAGTATGTAAATATCAACGTGGAAATCACTTTTTATAAACCAGATGGACCTTTCTTGGATAGGATAATGTGTGAAGTAATCATTTTAGCCTAATGAAGTCGACAGGAGTGACCATGGATTAAAGCTTGCTTGCTCTAACTCTAACTTGGCATGATGCATTGGGCGCTATATTAAATAGACCTTTACATCTTGGATTGTATAGAAAAGTTTTTAAAAGGAGATATAAATCATTTCCAATCCAACAAAATAAATA